GGATGGCATAGGCGCCCCGGCCGATGTAATTGATTGCACTGAGGCTATCTTTGGGATGGCATAGGCGCCCCGGCCGATGTAATTGATTGCACTGAGGCTTATCTTGGGATGGCATAGGCGCCCCGGCCGATGTAATTGATTGCACTGAGGCTTATCTTGGGATGGCATAGGCGCCCCGGCCGATGTAATTGATTGCACTGAGGCTTATCTTGGGATGGCATAGGCGCCCCGGCCGATGTAATTGATTGCACTGAGGCTTATCTTGGGATGGCATAGGCGCCCCGGCCGATGTAATTGATTGCACTGAGGCTTATCTTGGGATGGCATAGGCGCCCCGGCCGATGTAATTGATTGCACTGAGGCTTATCTTGGGATGGCATAGGCGCCCCGGCCGATGGAATTGATCTTACTGGAAGCGAAATAGACCACTGCTTGAGTAGTCCACCGCAGTAATATAGTCCAATAGTACTCTACCTCTTTTATGAGCGCTATACTGAGCTTCAATACTAGAGTCGAAGCGCTTGAGTGAGATCTTGAGAATGTCTATTAGTGATTAGTATTCGTCCGGGAGCGTCCCCACTAGATCTTCCAGTACAACTGTGATCTGCAGCTTTTCGGGCGTGCGCTTTCTCCGTTGGATTCTACGGGTCGGAGCTAGGGAAGATAGTTTCTACTAGCGTGTTGATTTCTTAGTATCGCTCCATGGTATTCACTTTCATCCACGGAAGCTACCAATGTGCTGCGGTGTTTCGTGTAGATATTATCTTAATCATAGTGGTGGTTAATTGTCTGTTTTGGTCGAAGGGGCTTGTAGCTCAGGTGCCAACATTTTCGTTATTTATCCGATCAGTTACTTGTGTTCGACCTTCTGTCAGCTCTGCTGTGCTTGTGGCCTTGAGTATTGTTCCACAATCTGAGGGGTACACGGATTAGCAGCCTGTTGTCAATCTTTTCAATTTTCAGAAGCTACATTTCTCTCCCTTAATAATTATGTCAGCCCCTGCCGCATCCGCGACAACCACTGCGGCCCCTGTGCCTTCTCAGAGTGCTGCTTTGGAGCAACAGCGTAAGCAACTCTCCGCTGCTGATGTCCTCAGCAAGGCCACCGCGGCCGCCTTCCGTGGTGGCATTGCTGGTGCCTCTGCCCAGGTCGTTAACGTGTTCGCCCTCATGTGGATGCGTACTACCATGAACTATCAGTATCG